CGGATTTGTTAACCTGTTCTAGAGCGAAAATCTCACAATTAAGTGTTTTTCAAAATACATCAACTTTAAAATAGTTTTTGAGGTATGTGAACAACTGACAAATAGCTGAATAATATCATTGAATTTTATTTTACACTCCGTACAGAGGAAGCTGTAGCCTAGTGTTCATTTTTAACGGGAATATCTGTGTCGACAATTAAACGCATTGTACGTGAAAAAAAGGTGACTGGGATTGTGCAAGCTCCAAATGTACATTGTCGTGGTAGAAAAAAAAATTGAATTGGACGAAGCATTTTCGGACACAAGTTCAAATAGACTTTTTTTTTATTGAAATTGTCTCAGGAATACGTCACTTGAATATTTTAACGTACTTATGTTACACCCTGTATATAAGTATATATGTTTATAAGTGTATTATATACGTGTTGATAATATTTTGAAAACATCTGCATACAACCTGTGGACAAAACCACAAGTTTTGTCCACAGGAGTTATTCTTAATGTGAGATTCTTTCTGAGTTCAGCGTTTTTCAATGAAAAGTTTATACTCCCCTTCATTGTCTGCTTTTNCAATGAGAAGTTTATACTCCCCTTCATTGTCTGCGATTAAACACAACTATCACCATTTTATGTTCACAGTCAAGACAATAGTTTACACGGAAAATCCGGGCTCAGCATCCCACCGAATTTAGTACCGCCAAAATCATAGATTATCGAATTCCAATTCATTGCTATGGAGATCAGCCGTTTTGACATGGATTCCACGTTGATTGAAGCACTCGAGAGGGAATCAATTGATGTTGGTTTCCCTATAAATTTCCGTCACCGAGGAAATTCCTGCAATCAACTCTGTCCCAATATGCTGAGAGCGTCAGACGTGAAGGTGTACTTGATTCATTTTACAATCCTTTTTAGAGTTACTGCCGGAATTTACGACAGTGTGAGGTTTATTATTCTGGGGAGACGATTTTGGAATGCATACGGTTTTTAATCAGGGAAAATAAAGTTGACGAAAATTCAATGGGATTTCAATAAATTGTTACGATTCCAAATGATGAAGTCGTTCAAAATTTGAATGCATTAATAGTGAAAACATTCAGAAAAAATCGTTAATTCAACATTAGTCTAATCAACAAGTTCAAATACATGAAAAATAGAGATAAAGGTCCTAAAAATATAAGCGACAGCTCATTCGATTCGGAATCACTTCTAGAAAAATGTTTTTGAAAGATTCTGGTGCAGGTAAAAAATTGCAATTTATGGCACTTTTTTATATATAGCTGTTTTTATAATTTTATTTTNGTAATCGGGAACAATACAATGGTCGAAGAAAATTTACGGGGACTCACGCCCTTTTCGAGTTATACGAGGAAAACCAAAAATGCAGCTGTTTTTCGTTTTTTTCGAATGGAATTGTTATTTCAAATATCAAAAAATGTTATTGTATTCAAAGTGTACTACGTTTCGTGTCAACATGGCCACCATCAACTTTTTTTTTGAATACGGACCTGTCTTTTTCATTACAGATATTGATGAAGCTATTAATTCACAATCCAAGGGTAGGTCACATTTAATATTTTTATAGCGTTTCATTTGAAATGAGCACCGTCATCAGTGACATTAATCAACTAGAAAAACAATTTATTTTATCATAAACTTTTGGGATAAATGATACCAATACGAGTATAAAACAATAACGAACGAAAAATACTAATATTATTGTGAAAGAATAATTATTTACTGATGAGTCACTGTCACTCATGGTAAAAAATAAGAGATAATTTCAATATAATGTACTTTTTATCACCAATATTCTCAAACTCGCATCAGAAATATAACGAAACCGGTACAGACTACCAATTTGTAATAATAAACTTACTTAACTAAACTGAATATAAGACGTCAAAGAAACACCAAGACAAGATTTTTTTAAATTTCTTGCTTTTTTTTCAAGACAAGATGTTGTTATCAAGACCAGAATTCTTGTCTTGCCGACACCTAGTCTAAATTGAATATCCAACATCCTCTGTTAGGCATCCTCACCAAGTACGTCACACTGGACGGAAGCAAAATTTTTACTTACCGAATCGCGTAGGCAAATGCTAGAACTGCATCAGAAACAAACTGCAGTTGATCCTCGAAAACAGTGTTGTTTATGGTGAGTTTTTCAGTCCCGTTGCAGTATTTTGTGATTTTCATGTTGTAGGGAGTTTTTGAACTGTTCGGATATTTACAGTTGAAGTGATGTTCCCAGAATTCTGAAATAGAAAAAAAATACATTTGAAAAGAGGTTTGTGGAAGTGGAAAAATCACATCTGATCGAAGAATTTGAACTGTCGCAGCCGGAGATGACCGTGGGAAAGCTATTTTTCCGGTTTTTTGGGGGTTTTATTGATAGTGCAAAACAGTGGCGGCGCCACGGGGATCAAAAGGGGGTAGTATGCCCCCATGATCTTTGGAAAATGTCGTTCTTAGCACCTTTCAGATTCTAAATAGAGATTGTAAATTGATTGAATCTCGGCGTGATACTCGTGGCAGTAGTATCAGTCTGATTCGTTATTGTTACTTTGACGAAAACACAGTTTATCAATTTTATTGATTATGGAAAGAAGATAAAATTGTCCACAGCGGATTTTCGAAAGTGACGCGAAAAGAAGAAGTCAAGATATGCTGCTACATCACATTCTCAAACAAAACAAAATTTTTGTAAAACTTTCAATCCGTAAGTTCTTAATTTTCAGTTGAAGATCCGAAATCTTATTCATTATGGAAACTTATATATTTACAGAGGAACAAAAGAACAATTAATTCAAACTCAAAGTTGTGTAGAGGAATCGGTTCCAAATAAACCTGACACTACGGAGAGTACGGTCAGTACGGAGCCAACATTTCCAATTAAAATACCAGAGCGATTCCAAAAATGTATTAATATACGGGGTGTTCCATTTAAAAAAATAAAGTTGCTAGGACTTTTTGATGGAAGTGGCAACGCCGGAATGCTGAAAATATTTTAGATCGATAGAACAGGTAAGGAAATGTGAGAGGTGGAATTTTCAGAAAAATCATGCTTTGGGTTTTCCAGAAACGTCTAACCAACCATCGACCGTGAGTCATGCTGTATTATTATAGTTTTGTGATATTACTTCTTTTCTTAATGGGCAATACAGTATCACTTCGAATACCTGTGCCTTTTAACTGAATCTTAAGCCTAGTTATGGTGTGCCCCTCCGCCCTTGATTTTTAGAATCGCCACTGCCCCAGAACATTGTAGTTTTTTCTTGTTATAAGTTTTTATCTTTCAACTTCATCCTCTGAATGTGCTGGGTAATTTATTTAGTTTCATTTATGAATATTATGTATTCTGAACAATGTCAAAAAGCTCTTGGATCTTATGACAATAAATATTATCATTATTACTGTGACTGATATTGCTGACTTCGCTCATACTATGACATAAAAATCATCTATTCACACACAATTACAAATATTACAACCTCAATTTTTCGTGCTCCCTATGACAACTCTCATAGCCAACGAACAAAAAGTTGTCAGTTAGTTTCATCCTTGATTTTTTCACAGTTCACATTTCATCAGGAGTAGCTTCATTGTTACAGTATCTCCTAACCCAGAACACCAAGTAACTCACCTACAAACCATGGGTTCCTTGTGTTGTTCTCTACATTCAGCGACAAAAAATACTCTTTGAATCCCTCCACTTCTCTAGCTTGTGGCTGAACCGAAAGGGTTCCCTCCACTTCCGCTTCATTGCCTTCTGAAACGACGGATCTGGCGCTCCAACCATCTGAGCCTATCCAGGAAAAGTATCCGGTGGCATTGTGGCGACGGATGGCTTTCATCAGCTCTGCCACTTCTTGGTCAGATCCGAATATAATACAACCTGCAACAACGATGGAAACAACTTCAGCATTCAATTTATCTAAGCAATAAAAGCGGAAATTCATCCATACTGTAGAAGCAGTTATCCAACAAACAACCATATATGGTTAACAACATATACAGGGCTTTTCATGATGAGCACGTTATTTTTATATTTCGTTGTCATTACGGGTAAGCCACATTCTGTANCCAGTGGACGAGACTTGTCCATACAGCGAATGACACTTTTCTGAACCTTAAAAATGCGGTCAGTATATGCAGAGGTACCCCAGAAGATCAATCCATACTGTAGCCTTGATTGTACCAGTCCATGATACATCATATTTCATCAAATTTGTTTTGATGAGTGAGAATGATGTTCTACATTTTCATTTCGGAATATTTTTCATGTATTTACTACTGATGATGCCTGTTGCAGTAGTGGACAAAACTTCTGATACTACAAATTACATTCAACTACGGCTCATCAGCCCGGATTTTCTCTCTATAACTACGACTCTGGCCGTGAAAGGCTATGTTCTACTAATAATGTAATAGTTAAATTGAACCAGTTGGGACTTTAACAAAGCTATTACCGCTTCACATGCGAACTATTCGTCATTTAGCGTTGACTGGAGTGCTACTCAACGGAATAAGTGAACCGTACTGAGTTCTTCGTGTTGTACATTACAGTTTAATTAGTTTTTGAAATAGCTCAGGATATTTTCGTCAATACAATTTCTCTCCACTCATCAACATCACTGTACACTTTTTGGTTTGATGAATAATTATAGGGTTGAACTGGAAACTATATTTTTCGAGTAATAAAAGTGAAGGTTTCCATAAATTGATCTGAATTTTACATAATCCAAGTTTTTTACAGTTTCTGAAAAGCTTTGCAAGTAATGTTTTTTACACCATCAAAAAATATTTCCAACGAACAAGGAGCATACAACAGATTTTTGAACCGACTGAATTAAAATAAGGAGATATTATGATTATTTTGAATCTAGTGTATTTGGGACATAAAAAGGTGAGCTTTCACCAAATTTCGCAAAAAAAATTCGTAGATGAAAATGAAAATCCAAAAAATCAGTTATTCGAACTTTTCACATGAATTTTGAGGTTATGTGAAAAAAGTATGGAAACAATAGTTGTAGATCTTTTTATTAGCTACAATTTGGCCATGACTGTTTTCCATAGGACTTGTAGTTTTGCCGGAAATTGTGATAAACCGCTTTTTTATCCTTATAAACTCATCCTTTTCCTCTTCTCGATCTCAGATCGCCCGTAAATTATTTTTCCTTCTATTTTTATCATATTTCCATTCTTCTGCAATATGTTTCATCTCACTACATTTTTTTTTGGTTTCAAAGATTATCGGCACTGGACTACTGTTCGAATATACATATGAACATAGTACCTAAATTAATATACCTAGGGTCTAGGTAATCTCAATTATGATCTGAATATATTAGCATCATTGAAGTTCTTTTCTAAGAAACCAACGGAGTATTACTATTGATGTATGATTGATATGATAAGCTTTCGGTAGTGATAATTGAGGATGGACGTTAGATATGCAAAAGTTCAGTAGATACTTTAAATAAGATACTTGATTAGGTAGTATCAATTGTGATTACTTGTAATGCATTGTTTGGAACCTTTAGTGTAGTAACGACTATTACTGGAGTTTGTTGTTAACTTGTCAAACTAAGGTAAACTAAAGTCTATGGAATGGTTTTGTTGCAAAATATAATGGGCGACTGCTGATTTTTCAGGTGTTTCAAAAACCACCTTCATACCTAGTTCTTCGTGTATTGGTGGTATGGAACTGAGATATATCTTGGTTTTTAAAAGTCGAGATTTCGTTCATTCTTAACCTTAACTTTTTCTTCCTTATTATGTCATCTACAATACCCCTCGAGAAACCGTTACTGGCTGCTATTTCCTGTATTGTACGTTTTTCTTTCGTGAACCTCTCATGTAGTAATTCCCTGAGGTATTGTAAGATCTGTGGAATTGGAACACTAGGAAATAAGGAACTAACATCAAAGGAAACCAAAAGCTCACCTTCTTGCAGAGCAATTTTTTTTGTCTGTTGTATGAACTTTAAGGAGTTTTTTATACTAAAACCTGGTTCCGCAATAGACAACCCATTAAATTCCTCAGTAAGCCATTTTGCTATTCATTAGATAGGAGATCCAATAGCTGACACGATGTGGCGCATTGATTTTTTTGGGTTGTGAATTTCACCGTTGGGTTGGAAACTTGTAATTTCCGTTTCAGTTGAGGGGTAAATATACTGTCGCATTTCTTAAGGATGCTTTTACTTCGGCAATCATCTTTGGTAACGGTTCCTGGACAATTTGGCATATGGTCCGTTAGTAATGAGGGTATTAACTCTTTTGTTGTAGTCCGATTTATCCAGAATCACTACTTAGTTTCCTTTGTTGGCCATCAAATAAAAAATGTCTTTTTTTGATAAACGATGATAGAAACCAAAAGAAACTTATCAGGCAATTGGAAGACTTCTTTTTTCCAAGATTAAAAAACTCGTGAAAGGCTGGCGTTTTGCGACGACTGAAAACATGAAAACTGCGAGAGCTCAAGGACATACCAAAAAGTGCGTATCTGGACTGCTTCGAATCGTTATTCAAAATATTATTATGTTTACTTATTTCTACACTATCATAGGCATCTAGATACCTGTTGTTAACTTGTCCAACTAATCTTAATTAACTAAAGTCTATGGAATGGTTTTGTTGGAAAATATGTCTTACATATTTTAAGTGTGCTACGTGTTCCTTATATCCTATTCCAATAAATCTTTTCGTCTGTCCATGATATTTTGCATCGCAGTCTTACATTTTATTTCGTAAATTCCAGACTTTTCCGAATTCTCGACTTTGTCTTTTGGACTACCCAAAAGGCTCTGCAGTGTATGACTTGTTTTAAAAACCACCCCCATACCTAGTTCCTTGAACATTTTTCCAGTTCTTCGTGTATTGATGGTATGGAACTGAGATATATTTATCTTGGTCTTCATCGTTTTTAAAAGTCGAGATTTCATTCATTCTCAACCTAAACTTTTTCTTCCCCATTATATCATCAACAATACTCCTTGAAAAACCGTAAGTGGCTGCTATTTTCTATATTGTATGTTTTTTTTGTGAATCTCTCATGTTTCGCTAAGACATTAGTTTTTCAAGTGATTTAATCACTTGAAAAAGTGATTTAATCTAAGACATTAGAATTTCAAGTGATTTAATCACTTTAAAAAGTGATTTTATCACTTGAAAAAGCTAATGTCTTAGCTAAATATGTTGTGATATATTTTTCAAATACAGTTTGTAGGGATCAAATCGTGAGGTGTAGTTTTTGAAATTACTATGGATCTTCATCAAGTACCGGCCGAATCAATCAGAAAAATACAGAGCAAAGACATTATTTCCAATTTTCTAAAAGAAATCAAAAGCTCACCTTCTTGCAGAGCAATGTTTTTTGTCTGTTGTATGAACTCTAAGGAGTTTTTTATACTAAAACCTGGTTGCGCAATAGACAACCTTTCAAATTCCTCAGTAAGCCATTTTGCTATTCATTAGATAGGAGATCCAATAGCTGACACGATGGGGCGCATTGATTTTTTCGGGTTGTGGATTTCACCGTTGGGTTGAAAACTTGTAATTTCCGTTTCATTTGAGGGGTAAATATACTGTCGCATTTCTTAAGGACGTCTTTTACTTCGGCAATCATCTTTGGTAACGGTTCCTGGACAATTTGGCATACGGTCCGTTAGTAAAGAGGGTATTGACTCTTTTGTTGTAGTCCGATTTATCCAGAATCACTACTTAGTTTCCTTTGTTAGCCATCAAATAAAAAATGTCTTTTTTTGATAAACGATGATAGAAACCAAAAGAAACTTATCAGGCAATTGAAATACTTCTTCTTTTTTCCAAGATTGAAGAAACTCGTGAAAGGCTGGCGTTTTGCGACGACTGAAAACATGAAAACTGCGAGAGCTCAAGGACATACCAAAAAGTGCGTATCTGGACTGCTTCGAGGACTGGTAAAAACGCTAGCACTAGGGGGATCACTTTGAATAGGAATTGATGATGAATTAATATTACTTGAGGAAAACTGAAATTCACCCCATTTTTTGAACAGAATAGTATTAGTTTTTCCATCATTTTTGTTGCTAGGCACCGCATACAAAATATAAGACCGCCACCTGGCCTTAAAGCTAACACCCGAAGTTTCTCTTCCTGGAAATCATTTCCGCTCTTCGAACTCCTCGAAATGAAATTATCTACGGAACTTCCTTGATAAGAATACGAATCTGGCATTACAAAAATGTTCACGTAATGACGGAGAGCAGCAGACTCTCGCAGAATTCCGAAATCCACTGGAAAAGGAAGCGGAAGTTACGAAGTACTCAGTGTAATGTGATAAAGGAGATCTCAGGTTGCCATTAGTATGTGAGAAATCGTGCAAGTTACTCCGATTTATAATTTCCTCGATACTTTTTCAACTGCAGCGAATGGTGTTACTTAAAAACAGAGGATTGTGTTCCAATTAGAGTGGGAAAGTGGAATCTGTGAGACCAACAGAAAACATTTTTGTTGAAACTTTTTGAATCAATTCACCTGATTTTTATGTTTTCTGGTTGCCGAAGACGTATTCAATTTCATTAGTGATATCAAGGATCTTTCATATGTACCTTATGAGCAACTGGCAATGAAGCATAAGTATTTCCATTATATAATATTACAACTTGTTTTCCAATCGTTTCCTTCGAATAATTTTCAGGTATTTTGCGTGACAACAATGTCCTCCATGTTTTTGGTAGTATCTGCGAAACATCTCGCTTGTTAAGGCAGTTGAGACGTTTTACAATTTCGATTGCTTCCCGAATTATCCTGGTCTTAAGATTTTTCTCCGTAGCAATGGTCTTGGTGTTTCCTTGGGTGTTGAGAACACCCAAGGACACGGTACGCAATGAAGCACAGGGCATATACGAAA